TTTTACTGAGCTCACAACTGCATAAGGTAATATGAGCGCGCGGGACACATTAAACATTTTCGGTGCGTAAGCTCATCGATTTTGGACAACCAAGGAATCTGTAACGTGCACAACTGGGACAAGGTTCCTCCGAGATTTTTCGCCCTTCTCTGAGAAAGCTAGATCTAGGTCTAGATCTTGCCTACCATAAGATCAGGGATGTGGCAGAAAGACAGCAGTAAGAAGGAGCCAAGGAGTAGCAGTAGAAAGGCTGCAGAAAGAGTCAGGAGTCAGGAGCCCAGAGGAGGGGGCAAAGGAGGAGAGGGGGCGGGGGCAGAAAGTGGAGACCAAAGTAGAAGACAAAATATTGTTAGAGAGCAGGAAAGGAGGTGAAAATTTTCCGTCGTTATCCGGATTCAAACTCGGGACCTACCTATTGAATGAGAGGCGAACACCTTAACCCCTTCAATGCCGTAGGTAAATAGACCCCAGTGCCGGGGGGAAATCCCATGAACCAAGGCTGCTAAGGGGTGACCTCACTCTATCTCCCATAACTTTTTTATGTACGAATATTTCCTTATGAATTTTTGCATGTACATTCTACATTGAACCACATTTCTATTGATATGATTTTGGGGGATAGAGAAAAGTTGGAGTTAGTAACATGATGCCAAAACCAAACCACCAAAAAACATAAAGAACACACATTCGAGTAATGATAAACTGATACCAAAAAAAGGGGAATACATGTTGTGTGAGTGTTTGCAGGTAAAGAAGAAGTGACAAGAGGATTTTCCTACCTTATACAACGCTCGTACAATCTATATATCGTCGGCCGAGAATTCTAACCGCCTAACTCCGAAATTTTCTCGAATTGCTTTTTTCCTTAAAATAGATCGACACGACGAATGGCTACGTCCTATTAAAATCCAGAACAATTTTGACAAACAAAAGTCTTGTTTTAAAGAGAAATTCTAACCATATATTTTGACTGGCTTCCGTGACTGAAGAATTCTAACCGTCTAATTCGTTTAGGCAGCCCGCCATTGTGGATCACAACGATAACGTATTGCTCCGAAGGAGGAGTTTGATTATAAATGTAAAATCAGAAAAGGATGCTTTTGTTAAAGGGTTGGTCGACTGTGTCGAGCCTGTGGAGAAAAAGGAGAGAGAAAGCAGAAGATCGTGGTCCATGAAGTACCATCTGCGAGTGAATGGGGCCAGAGTGCAAGGCTTTCTTCTTAAGTTCTGTAGAAGAACTTTGTAACTAGTGTGTTCACAATGTTCTCACATGTGGGTTGGATGTAGCAGAGGGTGAGGTTCCAGTTCAGAGAAAAAGGGTGAGGGAGGAGACTACAGCATCAAAGTTACTTAAACAGTTTCTTCGTGATCTGCCCAAGTTCCCATCTCATTTTTTCCGGAAGGACTCCAGTAAGTTATACTTGGCACTTGTTTTCCGGAGCTTACAGGCAGTGTACCGCCGTTTGTATAAAGAAAAGTAG